CCCCCCCCCCCCCCGGGATATGCATATTCAGACTCCTCAGAATAACTCCTTTCACCGCTTCGCGTATCCAAGAGTTAATAACGTGAGGTAAAAGAAAAGTTCAACTAATATGTTAATAACATACAAGTCAATATAAACGAGATACCAGATAACAACCAGATAACAGATTCAAAAGTAGGATTTAGTCAGACGTTTCGAAAAATCTTCCTTCGTTCAGTAACGATATGCTGACAATCGTTAATATATGTCGCCTCTGAATGAAGGAAAAGTGATCTCTTTCGAAACGTCTGACTAAATTCTACTTTTGACTCTGTTATCTGGTATCTCGTTTATATTTATTTACTATGCCAGAGTCTAAATGTAATATGTAAATAACACAATGTGACCAAGTGAYCACTAAAGGGAATGCAAAGAGAGCAAACGATTGGCAGAATGAGAGGGCCGGAAAAAGTCCTCGGACTCAGAAAGAGAACCAACACAGCTCACGTTAGGCAACTGGGATTTAATAGACAGATTAAGATTYCCGTTTTTCCTTCCCACAGACGGCAAACGTGACCACGTTTTCATCGTTTCYCTACATTTCACTTTACCTTTTGCAAACCTTCTCGACAAAGACACATATTCTTACTTTTATCTACTACTTGGAGATTTTTGCGATTCCTTTTCACTAATCTTAAAGATTTTTTAATGGTCAACTGACGTTTCACGTTTGCCGTAAACGAGAATCTTAAACTCTCTAATGAGACGAACGTTTTACGACACATCAAACGAAACCGTTTCAAATTTTATCTGGACATTCTAACCTTCATATTATTTTATTCCCGTGTCCTAAGTCTTATAACTTTTTAGAAGAACTCAGCTTATAGGGAAAAAACACTCTCTAAAAAGGTTTTATCCCTACCATTAATATTAGCATCACACTGAAGGTAATTTTAAACAATTGTCAACTCCAAGGTCGACCGTATTTTGCTTTTCACTATTACAATTGCTTCCGTTTCTTTTCAAGAAAATATATTAGTAGGTAACCGCTTGCCCATATAAGAAAGAAAAGATCGGAGCAGATAAAAGGAAGCAGTGATATGAACACCGTGGTTCACATGACATGCCATGAAGCTTAAAACTCCATACCGTTGCTAATACCAAATTAGGCTCTTAAATACAACCAAACACTAAAACAACGAAGTCATGTTATAATCAGACTTCCTTCGATCTCAGCAATTTTAACTACACTAGACACATTGGATATCTCAAAAAGCAAATAAAAGCAACTTTACTATTCAAATATGGCGCGGAAAATAAAAACAATCATAAAATGAAAGGACAGGTAAATTGTGTTGGCAATAGGAATATACAATGATTAGGATTATAAAATAGTTAACAAACCTTACCCGGGTTAATGCCATTCGTAACTATCTTTRCGCAGTTTGTAAGCGAATCACTCAGGAATATGTCATCCTCTTGTGTGTCGCTGTCTTAGTGATACTAAAATAGCACCAAAAATAATCCTCTTTCTCTAACATAAAATACATGGTTTTCGATCCATGGGAAACATTAAATTAAATTAAGCACATACATTGACAGTTTTTCAGTGAATTTCTTCACTTTTTCTCGTACTTCGAATGAGTGGAATTTCAAAAGCCTAGTAATAAATATCTTGGCTACTCAATTTGGCATACAAAACAAAACAACAAAAAAAGACATTAAAATTTAAAAGCCTTCACTCCAGCAACATCTGGTTGAGTGCTAAGTGGGTTTATACGTTGGTCCATTGGTCCTTCTCATCGCTGGTAAATAATGCTAAACACTAACACAGCTAACACGGACAGAACAGCAAAAATCAGATSAAAATGAAAACGAAATGAGAGCATTTAATTGTCGGTACTGACAATAAGATTCTTCGATGGCTTTTTCGAAATGTGACGATCACAATGAAAATCTAATCAGCAATCTGAACTATCTTCCATCTTCTTTTGCTTTTAAATATTCAACCACAACCACAGCTATGAATTTTAGTGCTTAGACAAATGTGTTCTAAAATTTGCATAATTTTTGGCCAAAAAATAATTTAGTCATGCACCACCTGTTGATGAATATGTAATCCAAAAATAAAGAAAGAGAGAATCTATAAAAAGACAGACTGATCACGTTCAACAAACGCATTGCTGTTCAATTTTAGCTCACCAAGATGAAACAAAACATCCACGTCTAAATTCATGTGCGTACTTACGTTACTCTCCCCACGTGTGCCAATAGATGTACATATATATGTATGTGTGTGTGGATTAACTTACATAAACAAATTCTTCGATCGCAAACCCGCTTTATCGCACGTCTGAAGCGAGTGACTGTTTTTGAATGTCAAGTTTCCAAAATCAAACCGTCGGGTCGTTAGAATTCACTCTCCTTCGACCTTAATTGATTTCGAAGAAAACCGAATGAAAATGATAAAAAAAGCTATGAACTATTTGAATTAGATTTGTTAAGTTAACAARGAATAGTAAGCTTTCCATACTCTTAATGCAAACACTAACCAAATAATTTCAATACCTACATCGACTTTGAATATGAAAATGTCTTTTTTATTTTTTTATTTAATTTTTATTTGCTATGTGCGCTGCTTTGCGCTATATAAAATATTTCGAGTAAAAAATAAAATGTACAAGTATGGAGATAGATCACTAATAATAATAAGATAATTCAAAACATGTTCGCGGTTGATGTTCAATACGAATAAGCGCCTAAGCAAGCCGGCATGGACGGCGATGGTCAGGTTTATCCTAAATGAATATTCCTACTTTCTTGCTTCTCGTCAACAATCTCATTCGAATGTATCGAAAACCTTCACACATTCAGTGTGTACACTATGAAACTTCAATTGAACAGGCCTAGTCTTGAAAATTAGATTTAAAAAAGTATATTAGTAGTGCTTAACCGAAAAGGAGGATCTTCACATGTGGAACAGTAAGGAAAGGAAAATAAGTTATTCGAAAAAGTACGCAACATGATAAGTCGATCTGAGAGATTCTCAGCTGACTTACAATAAGTTCAAGGAAATGGTCTCTACAACTCACCAATCTAGATGTCCAGTATTGATGGAAGATATTACAGAAGTGTTCTGGTCCAGCGACCAGTCGTAAAAKGGCTTCACACATCGGAATAGTTAGCAGTGTAGATGGAAAATAACATCAAGTCCATGGTTGGGAGCGAGTCCCTTCAAACAGGTGTTACTAAGTCAAATGTAAGCTGAGAAAGGGACTTGTTTGTCTGACAAGTACCACGGAAAACACGCTTCAAACTAAGTCATTGATAATTAAGAACTTCAGTGTGATTGGTCAATGCTGGGTTGCTTAGATATCATCAGTGTAACGCCAAACCCATTCGTCTGTCACACGTCCTAACACACGTAAAAACGAGCAAGTTTTTCTTTTGCGAACGCGGAATTCGTATTTACAACCCCTTTCTAAATGTACATTAACCACGTGTGATCAAAATATAGTAAAATGACTATCATATAAACATTGAATTGTGCTTTRTAATCAACAATGTTGGAGGCTAAGTGAATTAAAACTTCAACAATTCAACTGAAATATACAGCGTGAAATTAAACGCGTGAAATCCAGGCATAGTCAGGTAATGGGCGTTGTACAAGTGCGATAGTTAAATGTTTGTTGCGAGCCTTCATGCGAGTAGCAACACTAATCTTGACGGTTGGGATCACTGTGTGATAGATGCCAGAAGAAAGAAAAAATTCACTTTTTTTGCGATAATTTYTTAAGCATGTTCAGCGGGACTCAGCGGGCATGTTCAGCGGGATTCGCCTAAGTTCAGTCGACGTTTCTGTTTGATAAATATGTTTATTAAACATTGTACTCACTATCTGAATTCGCATTGGTCGAGAACCTACAGATAATTCTAGCTATCAGCATGCGCCARCGATTTTTTAGCGGTCGATAGTTATCTGTAGGCTGTTACGGCAAAAACGAGCTTGCATAGGTCAGCCGATGTGTTTAAAATATGTACTAAAAATATTCTGAGCGTTTGCTAGCTATTCTACTTCTCTTCGTGGATTGATACGGGTTTTAGAACAATTTTCGGTGAATTTGCGTTGACTTGACCCCCTCCGACGACCATGACTCTTTGCGTTTTAAACAATAGATTTGTTTTGATGTGACGTCATAGTGAAATAGGGAACTCGAAAATGATYTATTATCATTCTCGGCACTTAAATGTTATCGGTCAATAACACTTGCCTCGACATTGATCTTTCCGGACATCATCAAAACCTCATCCAATAACTGTTTATTATTTGTCTGTTCAAGCAAGTCTCTTTTTTTTTTT